CGACATGGGACACTTGAAGCGTGAGTGTGGGCAGTAATGCCAGGCTGCTGCACCGCAGGCCACGGGCCCCGCCACATCCTCACGAGCTCAGCTGCCCCACCAACAAATGCTTCTGGGTGTCACTGTGGATTAAATGATGGCTGTGCCCGCCCCCCATAGAGACCGAGGTCTTGAACATCGATCCAAGTCACACGAAATCGCAGAGGGAACCTGATGGGATTCCCGGCTGAGGGCGCCTCCCCCAGCCCGTCCACCCGGCCCCAGCTCACCGCCCCGCCATCTTGGTTAGGGCCCCCGCCACCTGGCTCTCCCAGCTAGAGCCCGCCAGCCCAGCCCGGGTTGCCGCTCTTCCCTGCCTCGCCCACTTGTTTCCAAACCAACACAGCTCGGCCCCAGGTGGCTTCTCTTCAGTCCCCAAACACAGTTGCTGCCCATGTCTCCTCTGCCTCTTCTCCTGGAAGACCCCTCCTCTGCTCCTTCCTGGAGAAAGGGTTCACGGGGTGACCTCCACGCTGCCCTGCCTGCGCCCCCCCCCCCCCCCGCCGGCTTTTCTTTCCTTTCCTCTTTCTCTTGGGTTAAGCCTCCACCGCCCTCCCCCTCCCTCCTCGCTGCCTTCGCTCTCCCTCGAGGACCTGCCACTGTCAGCACAGGGAGCCAGAGGACCCCAGAGTGAGGGCGCCTCTTCTAAAGGTGTCACAGGGAGGTTCTCCTGACCACGCAGTGCCGGGCTCAGAGGAGGTCTTGAGGGAATCATTGCTGGGGGCAGGTGACCAGGTTGAGTGGAGGTGACCCGTAGCTCCATGTGGAGTGGAGGTGACGTGCCCCCCGTGGAGTGGCGGTGAGACTGCTCTGAGCGAGCACATGGTTCCAACCTGAGGCTGATCTGGCCCAGAGCCGTGGCTGTAGTGTCCTGCTCTGGCCTATTTGAGTGCTGCACCCTGGGCCTCTGCAGGGAGGCTGGACCTCCTGGGCTCTGTGCCACACCAGGTAAGCCCTCGTGTCCACGACGGCTTTTACAGGAGTAGCTCTGTGTCCTCACCAGACGACAGTGAAGCCGGAAACCAGGGAGGGCCAACTTGCTGGAGGTCACCAGTGGGGAGCTTGGGAGCAGGACTGACGTCCAGCGAGCAGCCGCAGCTCAGACTCCACGCTGGCCTCTGTGTCTCACCAGTGACGGTGGCCTGTTCCCATGCCACTGGTGATAGGGTAGACTCTCTGGGGACTGGATCCTCACGAGGCAGAAAGGGACCTCTTCAGAGGCCATCGGCTCCTGCTTCTCACTTAGCGAACCAGCAAATGAGGCCCAGGAACCCTCAGGGGGTCTCCCTTCCCTGTTTCCCCTTCACTTTGCCCCCCATGTGGGGCTGGGGGTAGAGACACACAGGACGAGACGGAGCAGAGAGCTGAGCCTGGGGGACACTCTCCACCTCTCCTCCCTGGGGCTCATCCAGCAAGAAGGCCACCTGCAGGGGGCCAGTGACCTCCTGAAGGGACAGTCGTCTCCCAGCGGGACAGACTAAGGGCCCAGACATGAATCAGGGGCCTTGGTGACAAATTCAGAAGCATGTGAGACACCTCAGTTTCTGTTCTTTCATTTCAGGAAGAATGAAGTAGAGACTTCAAATTAGACTCCCTTCAAATTAGCCAGGCTTGGGGTTTGATAAGCAAGTGGGCACATGCACAGCCTCAAGCCACCAGGACAGCTGGCCCCTGCCTCAGCCGTGGTCGCCTTGCGGAATGCCCCACCTTAGCCAGGACTCTGGGTGCCTCGAGAAGAGATTTTTTTTTAAATACAACATCCTGCTTTTAAGTGTTGGCACCTTCTGCTGTCCTGGCTTTGGAACCTGGACACTCTGAGCCACAGCTCCAGGAGGCAGCTCTGCCACCAGCAAGACAAGGAGAAGGCACCTCAGGCAGAAGCAGCGCTGACCCTCAGTTGAATGGGACTCGTCCTTGTCACCGGCCCCCGTCTTAATGCTGGTAGTCCGTGCCACTCTTCGTGGCAGGTTCAGAGCGCCAGGCTGAAGCCCGCGGGAGCCTGCACAGTGTCACCACGTCGTCCTGCTATTAGCCAGCGCCGGTTTACAGGAGCCTCAAGTGCTGATAAGGGAGTCTGAGGATCTTCGGGCGATTGTCAGACAGCCCAGCCCAGCCCGCCCGTCCCTCAGGGACCATTAGAGGACTTTCCAGACATTGTTTTAACCCTCTTTTGAACTTCACCGCCTTGACCTTCATGCAGGACGTATCAGGGAGGATGGGACCCAGGGTCGGCTACCAGCCGGGTGCACGTTTGTTGGCATGGGCTGTCAAGGCCCCCGTCACACCCAGGTGCCACAGAGGCTGGGGAGCTGGCAGCAGGTTCAGTCCAGCCTCCCGCCAGCCATGGAACCTGGGAGGGCTCCGCGGGCCTGGGCCCCTCCGTCCGCTGTAAGATACAGCAGTGAGTGGTGGCGCCCCAGGTGTCTTCCAGGGGGCGGCCCACAGCTTTCCGACAGCCCAGGAGCCCTGCGTGCCAGGTAGCCAGAGTGCCAGGCCCTGCTCCAGCCCTGATCTGATCACTGGATCGGGCACCCTGGGTGGTGCGTGATAATCGGACACAGAGCACGCGGTGGTGGTGGCAGGTCACTCAGGTTTCTGATCCTGCAGCACTTGGGTTTGGAGGCTTCACACTGCTGTCCTTGCTGACCACAGGCAGGTAGCCAGGCATCCTGTGGGAGTCACCGCCGGCAGCTTCTCCCCGTCAAGGGTTGGCAGCAGACACAGGAGGCGTGGGCGGTCCAGCAGGGCCAGATCATCCCAGAGCCCCACGGGTTGTCCCCCGGTGGAAACCTCTCCATCAGGGATTGGAAAGGGCCGCCCAGGCCTGAGGTCGGTGGGAGCCGCTTAGGAAGGAGTCTCCAGGTCACAGAACAGCACACATTGCAAAACTCCTCGGAGCGCCTCATCTGACCGCGTAAGGAACCTCGCAGTCATCTGGAGCAGCTGCTGGGGGCAGGACGGTGGGCGGCGGCTTCTTCAGATTCCTGGGTTAGATCCCAGCTCCTCGACTGCTACTTCCATGGCTCCGAACGGGTTGATCTGCTGGTGCCTCGGTTTCCCCTCTGAAAATAGAAATGGTGCGACATTTAGCCTCCCGGGTCAGAGGTCAGGTCTGGTGAAGTGTTTGGGCATCATTAGGGACCACTGAGGGGCCGCGGCACTGAGGATCAGCCTGGGGGGTTTGGATGCCCCCGTCACACCCAGGCACAACACCTGCACACATACCCTCACTCTCGTTCCCGCCCTGGGACTCCTGGCCCTCTCCAGGGAGGTCCCATGCTGCAGAAGGCCTCTGCCGCCATCTTGGTCTTCGGTGGAGCCCATCACCTGTCAAGAGGACAGGTGGACCTGGTGCTCCTGTCTCTCAAGCGCACCGTAGCTGCGGGCTCCCAGCACCCGCTGTGCTGAAGGGCTAGGTCAGAAGCCAGGGTGGCACCACTGGAGGGAGCAGGAGGTGGCTGGCTGCGGAACTGGCCTGGATGGGGGTGAGTGGAATCCCTGAGCCCGTGAGAAGCCTCTCGTGAGCTTCACTCTGTGGTTCCCTGTGGCTTCCACCCCAAACCTTAGCCTAAGGCTTCACGCGGAAGGAGCAAGGGCCAGCTTGGGTCCCGATATGCGCACACACAGCTTGGGATTTTCTAAATGACAGCACCTGCTAATTGTCTGGTTAGGTATGACCTATTAAACATTTACCGCCCATTTCCTGTACACGTCTGGCGAGGCCGGCAGGAAATTCAGAACAAATTAAACAGCAGCTGCGATCCCTCATGCTTTAGTGGTCCCTGCCCGGCTCTACGCGGCGTTGTAAAATATGAGGGGCAGATCTATTAGGGACAGGCCGGTTTCATCAAGGAAGTGTCCCCCCCCCCCAACCTCCTGCCAACCAGGCCCCATAAAGTCCAACTGGCCGGTGCGCATCCCTCCCTCCCCACTTCCACCCCCACGGCCCTGCGTTGGAGGGAGGCTTCCCCTCCCTCAGCCACTCACCCTGCTCCCCCCCCAAACCATTCCCACACGATTTCACATGTGGTCCGAGAGGGGCACTTCCTGCCGTTATAAAAAGCAAAACCGAGACCCCAGCAAAACAGGCTGTGTGCAGAACACCCAAGTTGACAGTGAGAGAAGGCCTAATCCATTCCATATGACACGCAGCGGTGGCCGCAGGGCCAGGCAGAGCCTGCCGAGAGCTCGGAGCAGCTCCCCCACATCCCTGCCCTGCCCCGTGCTCCCGGCCCACCCCCCAAGTGGACCCTTCAGAACAGGAGAAAAATATTCCGAGGAGCACGGCCGGCTGGAGACCACTCGTGTTTGGGTTTCATGGCCTACTATGCATTGTTCTCCCTCCACTTTGAAAATAAACTCTAGGAAGCATTAATGCAAATACAATGTAAACACACTCGTTCCTGAATGTTCCAATCTCCCTGGCGTGTTTGGGCTTCTCCTCAAGGTTACGGTTTAGCCTGATGTAAGAACCAGATGGGCCTCCAAGTTGGGAGCTCTGCTGTCCTCGCCATGTAAACAGACAGCTGTCCAGATGGTTCGGGGACAGAGCCCTCAGAATGTGGCCTTTGGCAGCAGCCTCCACTGTCTTCCTCGGAACACGAGGTGGGCAGAGTCTGTCTTTGCAGCACAGTGACAAACAAGGCCTTGGAGAAAATGACACCATGATAGAGGGTCGGGTGGTTGAGAATCGATGAGCAGGACACAGTTCTCTGGTAACTGTCCTCAATGCCATCTTTCTCATATCTCAGCGGCAGGGCTTTGCTGCTGCCGACCACAGCTCACATTGACAAATCTCTTGATTCATTTAGTCCCCGGTGACAGCCTGCAAACAACACTCCCTCCTGACGGTCTCGGGCCAAGCACAGGAGCCTGGACTCGCTTATCACGAGCACACCCCAAATAGACTTCCTACTTCCTGCTTCCTGCTTCCTGCATCTTACTTCCTGCTTCCTGCTCCCTCATTCCATAAACCATTCTCCTTGAGAGGTGCTAAAAATGGAAGGGACAAGATGAAAGGCTGGTCACAAGATTCGGCCCAGAAGCCTCTCCGGTGCTCTGCAGCCTGGGCCGTCGCTGCTGCTCCGACTTGACCTGCCCCGGGTTAGTGGGTCTGAATTTCGTCGAGCGAGCCATTAAATCCTGTAGGCTAACCGTTTGTGGGGTGGGTGATCTGGATGACTTGACAAATTAGCATAGTAAATTTCGGGTGTCTTGAGTGCTAAATTAGGTCATTTGTTTAATGAGCCAATCCCCTGCCCAGAGTTTGACCCCAGCCCACTGGGGTGAGGTCACAGGAGTTCCAGGCGGGGGCCGGTGGCCCTCATTTGTCTTTGGAGAGACGCTCTCCGGAGCTAGAGCTGGGAATCACATTCCAGCCTTAACCTTGATTTGTTGGTGACGGTCACTAAGTCCTTCTGCCTCGGTTTCTCCCCATGCTCCCTCTCTAGCACCTCCGCCCACCCCTGAGCTCTCACCGCCGGCCACCAGGGGTGAGCCTGGCGCTTCGAGCCCCGTGACAGCCCAGGGGGGCGAGAGCCCATTATCCTCGCGTCCAGGTGAGAAAACAAATCTCAAAGACGCCGCTTTCCACGCCCACTCCCACTCACTGCACCTTTGTCCAGTCTTGCGACAGTCTCGCTCAAGCACTCGGGTGCAGCACAGGGCACAGCCGACAGGCCAGCTGGCTCTCGGACTCTGCCCGGCTGACCCGAGTCATGCATATTAATCCAGGTAACATGATCTGGGTTTCCACGACTCAGGCAGAAGCCCCCCAGGCCCAAAGGAACAAGAAATCAGCTCTGCCTCTAAAACCTCTGGATCATGCACATGAATTCCAAATGAAGTCCCTTTGCCACCGAGGTGCCACAGGCCGCCTTTTGTGCAGGGGACTGTAGGCTCCCGAGGACAGTGTTGGACACCTGTGGCTCTTTCTCCTGGTGCTCTGTGCAGACTCCATGTTGTGGTGTCAACACAGAAGCTCCCAGTCCCCGAGTCGGCCCCACACTCCAGGGCAGAGGGCTGAGCTGTGAAGCTCGAGGGCACCAAGGCCCTGGTCACCACTCGCTGTGGCCCCCGGTGCAAAGGCGAGAAGCCCAGGGGCGGAAGCAGATGCGTCTGCTCAGTGTTTCTGTCCACGTCGGCTCTGACTTGAGTTCTTTGAAAATTCTCAGTCCTCAAATGGGTTCTGTGGCTTCCAGCCTGCGCTCGGAGGAGACCCCAGTCCCATTGTCCCCCCCCCCCCCCGGAACTGCCCCTGGCAGAGGGAGTGGGCAGGAGGCCACCTGCTGTGATTTCATGTGACACCTCCACACTTTCCAGCTCCCCCCCTCGTCTGACTCGCTCTGAAAGGTCAGGAGGGTGGACCAACCCAAGTGTGGCCGATGCCCGTCCATGCCCACCTTCCTCTGGGGCAGGGTTTTGTTCTGCTGCCTCACAAGGACCCGGAGACAATGATCTGGGGGCCTTGCTTCTGGGAGGCGGTGAGGCTGGGGCCTCCAAAGCCTCTGGCCGCGTGTGGGCACCTGGCGCCGGCCCGGGGGCAGCTCACCTTCCTCGCTCGGGCACAACCAGACCTGAGAGGTGCACGCGTTTAGGGAAACAAGACCTCGAAACGTCCCGGTGTGCACCCAGACCACGAAAAACATCAGTGAAGCGTGCGAGTCTTTGCACGTGGGGCACACGCACAGGGCCTCGGGTCCCGCACAGGAGAGGACAGTGAGATAGATGCATGCTGACCAGCGCCTCGGGTAGGGCTCATGACGGCGGGGACTTCCAGTAGAGGCAGAAGTGACGCTAAAGTCACCCAACAAGCTTCCCTGGCACCTCCGTGCCCCATCCCAGTCCCTGCTGAAGTGGCCATTACCCCAACGCCCCAGAGAATGTCGATCACCCCAGCTCAGCTCTGGCCCAGAAGGAGGGAAAGGCCACTGTTTCCCTAGTTTTAATTGATCATTGTAAATGTGCAGTGGACGGCCCAGTTTTAAGCATTCGGCTGAAACAGTTCTCACATATGTGAATCCTGGGGTGACCACCACCAGGTTAAAATATTGACTTCCCAGGACCTAGAGGGTGCTCCTGACCCCTTCCCCATCAGCAGCCCCCACGGTGACCAGGCCTCTGTAACCCTCGGTCAGCCTGGCCGATGACCTCACACTGAGGACTCGTGAGACTCTCAGGCTCCAGGGGAACAGCTGCAGACGGTGCGGGCTCCGGTGGCCCTGTGGCCCGAGGCCCCGCTGCCTCCGCTCCTCCCTGGCTCTGAGCACCGTCCCTCTGTTGCTGTGTGGGAACCCTCCAATCTGCTCTCACTGATGGGCGCTTGTCACTGTGGATAGAGTTGCTCTGAAGATTCTGCTTCGTGTGTCCCGGATGGGTGTTGACCCCTTTCTCACAGACACGTTTTGGCCCATCAGGGAGCTGGTGTCCTGCCTTCACCGAACAGCCACCTGGCTCTGCAGAGCATGTCAGCCGGCGATCCGTCCCCCTCACTACCCGGGCACCGTGTTCGAGTCGTTGCCACGGGCTTGCATGGTTGTCTTCTCGCGGTTTTAACGTTTGTTCCTCTGGTGGCCACCCGCTTGCTGTCCATGTGGGACTCTGGGAAGAACTCCTGTTCAAGTCCTCAGCCTTTGAAAACTTTTGAAAGCCTTTGCTTTCTTGGCTGACCTGCGGACGTTCTTTCCGGGTGTCTGCGCGGGAGCCTCCGGGGTCTCCCGGGGGCGGGATCTCTTGTTTTAATCAACACTAACTACTGAGCAGTCACTCTCAGGTGCGTGTTCCAGGACAGCGTTGTCTTCTGAACAAATGGCTATTGACGACTTTCATGACATCTGGTTCTTTTTGGCAGGTGTCACTTGGCAAGATGCAGACCCCAGCTGTTCGATCCCAGCCTCGTCTGCTGTGTGGACACGGTGAAAGCCCACGAGCAGTTGACCGTCAGCCAGGGCGACTGTCCCAGGCCGGGCCTGACTCACAGGGGCCACAGTCCTGGACAGCAGAGCTGAGGAAGGAGCCCACCGTGGGACAGCAGCCGTGGCCGGTGCCCGAGAGCTCCACGCAGTTCCTGCTGATCACCCCAAGGACTCTGGACTCCCTGACGGAAGGTTCTAAGCTGGAGTTCTGCCAGAACCTCTCCCTCTCTCCAGCCGTCTATCGCCCTGGGTCTAACGTTGTCCTGGATACTGACCAACACCCCATGCAGCCGTGGGGACCGAGCGCACTGGTTATTTCCTGATCTGTGCTGCTGGGAGTCTCGCCTACGACCCTTGCTGTCCCCTCCCAGGACTGCGGCCCGTGCCAGCCTCTGCTCTCTCTTGAGCCTCCTTGAGGCCCATCCTCCAGCACTTGCCAGCGGTCAGGACAGCTCTCTGTGCGCCTTCCTCTGTCTGCCGCCGCCGGGGACTCGAGCAGCGAGTGGTGGCTCCAAGCACTGCCTGTCACGTGGCATCCTCCGTGGCCACGTGGATTTCTTCACTAGGTGCTGCCGACTCCAAGCGCTTCCTCCACTGAAGGGCAGCAGCGGCTTTTCTCTTCCTCCTAGGGTCACTTAGAGACTGAATGAGGTCCCTCAAGCGCACTGGGCACCTTGCCTGCCGTGCGGTAGCTCAGTACAAGTTCCAAGTGGGGTGTCCTTGCTGCGATTCTCAGTAGAGACGCTGGCAATGTGCGCTCGACTCTGGGTGTGGAGCTGGTGCTCTGTGAATGTCCTCCCCCTCGGGTCACCTGGGGTGGCTTTGGCCAGCAAAGCCTCTTGGCCAGCGGTTCACTTGGCCTCTCCCAGCCCCATGATGGCGGCGGGGAGTCGTGGTGACATTCTGCCCCTGTCTTGAGGACAGGCCCCTCTCTAAGAGCCCTGACAGTCCTTGCAGGGCAGAAGAGAAGACCTGGGGAAAAGTGTCCCATCTCTCGGGCTCCACCTGGGGACGCGTCCAGGACTCCACGTGGGGAGGTCCTGTCCGCCTTCTCCTTGCTCTTGGTGTCAGTGGGGGAAGCCCTCTCTCCACCCCGGAACCAAAACACCGTTCCCCACGTTGAACTCTGCCCGACGCAGGAGCCTGCTTCCTTCCCCCGGGCGGCCGTCGGGTTTCCTCTGGGCCAGGGAAACACCCCAGGGAACAGTCCAGAAGGGAAGCCTGCGATTTCTTTTTTAATTTCAAATTCCAGATTTTTTAATGACAGTGTCCCAGCTCTGCCACGTCGGGGAGGACTGTGGAGAATGTGCCCATGGCAAGAGCAGCTGGGTCCTCCAGGCAGCTCCCTCCTGTGCCCCAGGAGGACGAGCACCTGACGGAGACCAGTCCCAGCCGAGGCCTGCACAGGAGCCGGCAGGGGCAGCCTCGAGCGGCTCCCACGGGTTTCTCAGACCCCCGTCTCCTGCCGCCCTGGCTGCACCGGCTGGCTTCTCCGTCTGCAGGGTACTTAGTGGGCCAGCGGCCATCCTGGAGCCTCAGTGTCCTCTTGTGCAGGACGCAGGGTCTGAACTGCATATACACGTCATGAAGACCTTCCAGCTACAGACGCCATCAGCTTTGCGGGCGGTGGAGGCCGCTGGAGTGGCATTGGGCTCCCGCGTGCCTCGTCGGGAGCCCAGCATGGCATGCAGGCTCTGCCACTTCCTTGCCAGACGCCACAGGACAGTCATGGAATCTCCTGAGACTCTGGTTTCTTCCCAGGGAGTCAGGAGTCACGAGCCTCTTTGTACCAACCTTCCTGGGCCCTGAGGGCATGACCCACGCCATCCCCATCTGATGAGGGGCGCTGTCATCAGCCCCATAGGTCACCCTAGGCCAGGTAGCTGTCACATGCTGTATCAGCCGGGTGCCAACAGAGCTGCAGAATCGGTGGGAGATAGATATTAAGAGGCTCCACTCTGGGGCGCCGGCCAGGAAGCTGCAAATGCCTAGAGCAGGGCGGTCCCCAGGAAGGCAGGGCTGCAGTCCTGCGTGGTGTCTCCTGCCTCGGGGACGCCTGCTCTGATGGCCCAAATGATGGGCCCCAGGTGATCCAGAGCAGCCTCCCTCACCAACAGTTGGCAGACCCCGGACTTTAATTACACCTGTAAGATCCTGTCACAGCCTCACTGAGGCGGGACTCGACCTTGGGCAGTCTGTACTGTTTGTATTATTATTATTAAATCAATAGACTTTTTAGAGCAATTTTAGGTTTGCAGAAAAATTGAGCAGAATATCCGTCTGCACCCTCTGTCCGTGCTGTGCACAGTCCCCTGCTACGCACGTCTCAAGGCTGAGCTGGGGTCCACACCATGTGGCTAGCGAGAGCCCTGTTTTGCATGTGGGCGCTCTGGTGTGGGCATTCCGTGGATCTGGACAAATGTGCAATGACCCGCACCCTCCACCAGCGTACGGGCAGTGTGGGCTCCCTGCCCTGGAGACCCCAGGCTCCACCTGCGGGTTTCCCCCCCACCCATCAAGCGTGGCCCTTCTTCCTGCTTCCTTAGCTCCGTGTTCCAGAGTGTCCTGGAGACAGCGGCAGGACATACAGACGGCTCCTCCTCCACGGTGCGCCTGAGGATCCCCTGCTCCCCAGGGCGCACGGTCCATTTTCTAGTGCTGATGACTCTGTTGCCGGGTGGGCTGCAGCACACGCACGTGGTCACCTAGGGAGGGACACGCGGAAGGTGCCGGGCCTCCAGGTGCAGGCTTGGTGAGGACGTCCATTCCCATTTCAGGTGAAAACTAAGAGGTGCAGCTGTGGACCCTACGCTGGGGGCGTGCCTAGTTCTGTGAGGAGTCGCTGGTGTCTTCCAAAGCCACTAGCATGAGCAGCCCAGGATGCCCCGTCCTCCAAGGACGTCCCCATCCAGTTGGGGAATCAAGTGACATAAAGCAACGTACACAGTGGGTCGAGTTGGGCAGGTGCACAGGTGGCGCTCAAGCGGTGAGCTACCATCAAGCACTGGGCGCCCTCCGTGCGTCTCCGGTATGCCAGACACTTCCTGGCCTCCCCACCACAGAGCCAGGTGCCAGGTGAGAGAGAGAGTGGGGATCTCGGAGACTATGTAGGAAGCTAACGCCAACACCTGTAAACCAAAAGGACCTCGGAGCGCTTCGTCCGGGACGTGCAGCCCCGAGTGCCGCAGCCCCACCTTGAGGCAGAGCTCGCGGCACACCCAAGAGCCTCGGGTTTCCCGACGTCCCACTTCAGCTACCAGGATGGGGAGCTGGCCGGAGTCCTGGTCACAGCCGTCCAGCTGCCTGTCCTCACAGGCCTCACCCGGCCGCTCCAGGACGGGCCGACTCCTCTTTCAAGAGGTTCCAAATGGTCCCCGAATCGTGTCTTTCTTTCTTGAGACACGGCACTTTGTAGAGACGTCAAAGGACGATTTCACGAGGAGCGAACACCCTTTTACACCCTAACTCCTTCTGTGAGATGAAAGGCCGGCAGAAGGCTTGGACATGGATGGCCCAGCCCCGCCGGAGCCGATTCCAATGTCACTCACACCCAGGAACAGCGGGTGGGTGAGCCGGGCGCCTCCCCAGGGAATGGGGCCCAGGCGCAATACTGAGGTGACACTCCAGCCGGGGCCCGGACGGGCCGGACACTTTGTCCTCCCTGTCAGAGGCTGCACGCCTGCAGAGATGGAGTGGTGTCACAGTCATAAAACGCTCCCGCCCCTGGGGACAGACAGGTTGACAGAAGGCACCGGCGCCATGCTGTCATAAAAGCCCCCGGCCTGTCATGTTCCAATAAATCTTGATTTTTTTGTAACATAATAGCACAGCGGTTCCCAGCCTTGGGTTTCACAGGTGAGCCGTGGGCTGATGGATGGCTTGGGAGCCGCGGGGGTGGGGACGAGGACAGGGGAAACCTTACCCGCCACGCCGCCCCCAGGCTCCCCAGTGCCGGGCAGGAAATCCAGCCTGCAGAGGATCCCGGGCAACTGTTCCCGATGCCACATCCTCACAGCAAGAAAGCCAGGCCCACTGTCTTCGAGCCTGCCCAGGGGCGTTAAACTGTAAGCGCTTAATAAGTGCTGGTGGCCCCTCCTTTCTCACTTGGGCTCCTGGATCCAGGGCTTGTCACCAAGGGGCTGCTGAGGGGCCAAGTGTGTGCCCTGTCACCAGGCCCTGTACCCAGCACTGCACACAGCGTGGTGACTGGCTGCCCAGAGGGGGCCTTGGTCCAACAGACGGGCACCTGCTGTGTCCCCACCATGGGGCCATCTTGTTAGCAAGGACTCTGGGGTGACACGTCCTCTGTGAGCTCTTCAAATAGATGATGAGACAAAACCCAAGGTCTCCCAGGGCCAGCAGGTGACATGGTGAGAGGACAGCCGCAGAGAAGGTGACCTGTGCGTGGTTCTTGGCTCCTGAGAGCAGGAAACGGGGGTGGGGGACGGGTCCACAGAGAGCACAAGTCCAGCGTCCCCAGGCGGGGCTGGGACCCAGGGTGGGCAGGCCTGCCGAGGGTCAGACGCTGCCAACCTGGATCTTAGGCAGATTCTCTAGCTTAGTGGGCCCTACGTCATCCAAATGTGACAGGTGCGTGACTGGGCGCGGGCCAGCACCGCCGAGCGGGAGGGAGTGCCCAGGGCTCCTGGATTGACCATGGCCAGAGGCTGCGATGAGCAGGACCCCTGGGACCCAGAGCTTGTCACCTGTGGTCAACACATCCAGCTGCAGGCCTCGGCAGGGGACGGGTCGTTTCCACGCAGCAAGCTGCACGTCTGACTCTGGCTCCTGCTCAAGTGGACTTTGGGGACACAAGGGAGTGAACGTGACTTTCTCATGGGGACAATCTTGAAGCTTCCAAAACCCTGAACACCACAGTCGATGGCTCCTGAATTCCTGGGTGTTCTCAGCTGTGACATTCTGACATTCTCCATCCCAGGGCCTTCGCCGGCCAAGGTGACGTGGCCACACCTGCTGTAGCCGATAAGCAGAGGCCACAGGGTGGGAGGAGCCAGAGCCTGGAGAACTCTCGTCTTTACAGGGAAAGGAGAAGGCGGACGGCGTTTGCTGTAGATTGTTTAGGCCAAGGAAATAAATCAAATTGCTGCCACATGTCAAGGCGTGGCCTGGTAAGAAATGGAGGGCAGGTGCCGAAGGCTCCCCGGTCCCTGAAGGAGATTCTGGATGGTTCCTGTTCCGGGACCCCTAGGGCCACTGTGGGTGGCTGCACCCTCGAGGCCCCAGCCAGTCCCCCCGCCAGTCTCAGGTGTGTGGAGGAGGGCACAGGGCCTGTCTCTGCCTGCCCTGGCTGAGGTCCCCAGGACCTCCTGGCCCGAGCCTCTCTGTCCTGTTCCTCTCCTGTTGGCAAACACAGCACACAATTCCAGAGACTGGTAAAATGATCAGTAAACTTAAATGTTTTTGGATAAGAAGCAGTTTCCGAAGTGCCCCAGTGTGGTAAAGAAAATAAGGATTGGGGTGAAGAACCCCTGGGTGTCCCTGAGGGCCAGCTGCGTCTCCTGGGTGTTGGCCACACAAGCCTGGTATGCATCCTGGTGGGCGATGCCGTTGGAAATGGCTCCTGACGTGGAAGCTCAGATAAACATTTTTAGGGCATTACTGCAAGAGTGAATTCCTTTTGAAAAGGTAAGTGTTGTTTCCCAGTAGACAAAATCTTCCAGATATAGAGGTGTATCAGGCTAATGCTAGGTGCTCTAACAAATGACCCCACACAACAGTGGCTTATCCCAGTGAAGTTCAAGTCTCCATCCTACAAAGTCCAAACAAGCATTCCTGGCTCAACAGGAAACTCTCCTCCTCGAGGTAATTCTGTCTTGTGGCCTTCCAGGACCCCAGAGTCTTCTGCATTTAGCTGGAAAGGGGAAAAGCAGAGAGAGCCTTGCAGGGGAGACTCTCATGAGCCACCAGCTGGTCTCAGTCGCACGGCCACACCTCATTCCAAGGGAGCTGGGAAACGGAACGGCCCACTGCACTTCCAGGAGAGGAGGAGGAGACCAGCTCAAGGACTGGCCTCTGCCAGGGGAGGCAAAGCTGGTCACGTGAGCCAGTGGGTTGGCAGGCAAGTGCTAGGGTCAGGGTGAAACGGCTGCCCGGGGTGGAACGTTCTGTCGCAGGGCCCTGTGGGTCTGTGCTTCGGGCTCGTCTCTCTCCCCTCCTGTGATGAGCCAGACCAGCTGCACCATCTGGGGCACTGAAGATGCCCCATGCAGTGCCCAGCTGGCCATCTGCTCCAGAGGGACATGCTCCCAGGCTCTGCTCAGGCGAGGACTGCAGAAGCCACGGGCAGGTGGCCGTGACCTCCGTCCAGGCCCTGCAGCCGGGCAGCACCTCATGCCCAGTTCTACCGTCTGTGGCCCCCCAGGACCCAGGAACACAGATGTCTGCCCTCAAGAGGAGCAGCCAGAGTGCTGGGGACGCCGGGCACGTCCCTACGCTCTGAGTCCCCGAGCTCTATCCAGTGTCCAGCCTCCTGCCGCCCACACAGGTCCTCCCGGGCTTCTGTCCGGGCTCCTGCCCCCTGGCCTCCACCTCTCTGCAGGCCCCTCCCGGTCCTCCCTGGACCCCAACTGCTACCCCTGCCTCCGCGTCAGCTTGACGCCCACTGCAGCCCTGCGGTCCCTGGCCTCCCCCCTGCTCTCACCCTGTGACCCCCTTGTCCTTCTGCCCCACGGTCCTCGAGCTCGCCCCACCCCAGCCCACGGCCCTGCTCCGGTCTGAACCCCCACAATGCAGCTGCTCTGCTGAGAGCCCCCAGCTGCCTGGGGTGCCCAGCAAGGAGCCATCCCGACCAGCCACAGAGGCAAGGACGACCCAGTGGGTGGGGGCCCAGGAGAGCCCCGGGGCCGGCGACCTTCAGGGACTGAGCTGCACGGGAAGACCAGCCACGCGCCCCGCCCCCACGGCTCAGCGAGGTCCTGCCTGCTCCCCACAGGCTCTCGACCACCATGTCCCCCCTGTATGAGGACAGTCCGTGTCTTTCCAGGGACTTTGAGGCAATCCAACAAGGACAGGGAAATACAAAGCGAGCTGTTTGCAAATTCTCAAAGAACACTAAGGCCGTGAGCGAGGAGGGTCGCCATGGCTCCTGGGGCTGTGGGCACGTGTCCCTCCAGGGCAGCAGGTCCCTCTGTCCAGTGTCTCAGCTCCTGGCCTCTGGGAGGTGTGGGCCCCTCCTGCGCAGGGGTCTCGGCAGCGCTGAGGCCTCCCCACAGATAAGCCGCATC